GTGTGTGTGTGTGTGTGTGTGTGTGTGTGTGTGTGTGTGTGCGTGTGTGTGTGTGTCAAACAAAACGTATGTAGTATGCCGCCACGCCTCCTGTTAAATTTTAATCAATTCAAACTGTGAAGATGTGTACAGGGAGAAGATGTGGGACGGAAGAGCGGAGAAAAATAAATGAATACATGTCTGCCCGTTCCCTTCTTCACTGAGCTTCCGTCTGTCAAGAGCAACGTGGAAAAGAGCAGATGATTTGGACGCAAACAAACACATTTTCCACTGGCCAAATGGAGTGTTACATCGCGGGTCCTCACAGTCTGAGATTAGAAGGGTCAATGGCTACAAAGGCGGGGACGAGGAACAAGGTGATGCTGGTGGGGGGTCTGATCAACAGCCTCTGCTTGAGTGAATTATTCATATAAATCTACTTCCTGGAACATAATTTGCCCCACATTCACCCAAATTCATAATTCATCCGCACCCCTTGGCTTTGTGCATTCGGTTTGAGTCCCAGACTGATTCTGTCTGCCCATACCTGGCATTTTCTCCCCTCGACCCCAGACGCCCCCGCTCCTCCCTCTTCCTCTCCCTGGCAGGGTCATACTTTATGCATGAGCTTGTTGCAGTGAGACGAGTGTGAGTGGCGATGGCAGAAAAAATACCACAAATCTTTTAGAGCAACACCAGCTACCTGTTTCTGCTGTTTGACTTCTCATTTCTGTCTGCAGTCATTTGCCACGTTGAAGATAATGTCCCGCCGGGAGCCTTCGTAATGGTTCATCAAAGCGTTTCCACCAAGCAGGGAGCCATGCAAGCCATCAGAAACAATGAGGCTCCATTTTCCTGTCTGCTTTTGATCCACGTTCTTCTTCTCACCTCTTATATGGCGACACTAAAAGCTTTCTTCCAGTGCCTTCTCTCTGTCAATTGAATAACTTGCTGGAGAAGCACTCTGCTGAGGCCAATATGCAATCCAGAGGATTAATTCAATAGCAGTACCTTTAATGGAAAA